AATGCGCAGCCAGTCTGTAACCCTGCAGCTCCTTAGCCTGCCAATGGGGGGCGATGTGCCTCTACACTAACCTGTAGTGCGGTGGCGGAAGCTGCTGGATGACGTCATGGATTTTGATGAGTCGTTCTTCGTCTGTCGCTGCTGATACAGCCTCCTTCGAGTGAAAGCAAAACAAGAGATTAGGAGACAGGGAGAGACGGACGGTAATGGGATTTGGCGCTATGTCCACATGAAGCTTATTCCATTGATATCCCAAGTTCATGCTGATATATATAGGGCGCAGACAGAACATCGGTCTGTAACCGCGAAGCCCCCCTCCTCAGTCTAGCTGCCATAGCAACCAGAAAGTATTTACTTCATCCTGAGGGATGCCTCTGGTGTGCTTGGAGAAAGTTTTTATTCCAAGTCACACACAGTGGTTTGCTGCATTTTTAATGACAGGGTGTGTCGAATGCGGTGCTATTATTTTAGGGGTGTCTATGGCCCATGACTGCAGGAGGAATTTCAAGAATTCCTATAAGATAAACCTGTTTTATTTCTTTCCTATCGAGATTAAATTTGAAAAGTCAGCAGTCAGTCACGCCCAACCTGCAACGGTTAGCAGCCCTGTAGCCCACATTAGTGCTTTACTTACAGAGAACTTCTCGTAGAGCTGGTAGGTGAGCAGTGGATTAGGCAGCTCTCTGAAGTAGAGTTTACAGAGCGAGCCAACACAGTGGATGTCCTGGATGTAAACATCTTTGGTCAAGTCAGGGATCTGCTCAGAGTCAAACTCATGCCTGATGGGAGAGAAAAGGACAAAGCATCAAACTGCAGTCAACAAACTAACATGTGAGTGCTGAGACAGGCCATGAAACGGTTCTGCTTTTCAGTAGTGTTTGCAAAGATCTTTTCCCAAAAATGCATCAATCTTTTCTCCATATAATGTCAGAGTGTCACATGGGCTCAGGATTGGCAGAGCAGGTCATCTACTAATCTGAGCGTTGGTGGTTCGATCCCCCGTTTTTCCAATCTGCATGCAAGATGCTGAACCCTGAGCTGCTCCTGATGCATTCATTAAAGTGTGATCATTAGACTTCCGGTGTCATGGTGACGAGAGTAGCAGCATAAACAGGAGCTCCTGCATCGATAGCTAAATTAATCCGCAATTCAAGAATATAATCCATTAAAAGCGACTTTCCCCTCAAGAATAATGAGCGGAGATAAAAATAAGAAGGGACG